AACTGAAAATAGTTTACTGAGAACATTTTATAGGAGATTCTTTCTGAGAACACAGGAAACTTGGACGGCAAAGCGGCAGGCCCCGTTTGTTACACACAGGAACAAGGAGGACCTTCAGCTCCTCTCTCCCTGAGCAGTCTCTCTAAGGGGCAGTCTTCGGGCTGTAGCCGGCAGAGAAAGCAAGCTTTAGGAACTTTCCTGCACCCCCCTCAGCACTCACTCAGACCCCAGGATGCTTTGCGCTTCCTCTGAGCCTTCCTCGGGAAGGCTTTGCCCAGTCCCAGGATCCGATGCATGCTGGGGTCTTCAGCATGGCCGTGCCCATGCCAACAAGACACATTCACTCAGGATTTCACTCTCTGCCTACAAACCCTCGGGAATCCTTCTGGGGCCTACAGTCCTTCTGTTGATTAGCACACTCCCTTGCCAACAACAATCACAGAAAAAAAAAAACTCGAAACCCACATCCAGAGCAGTCCTTTACTATAGTTTATATGAACATTTTAAAAACTCTTAATACATTTCAGAAGGGGGAAATTTTATAGTCTGATCTCTGCAGCCCCGATAAATGCACTTTAAGAGAAAGAGAATGAATGAGCCGTCAACATTTCATCAGGTCGGAAGTTTAAATGTAAAACTTCTCGCTCTTATTATCAATAAAGAGGGCTGATTTTAACGCACCGTATAATTTTAGTAATCACACTTTGCCTGTGTGATTAACTGCAAAAGTTAGCTGCACACTGCTGGCTCCGCTTAGCTCTACACCAGAGCAGGACTGGTCCCCATTCACACGCGTGCCCCATCCCACGGGGCCTCAGACCTTTCCAAAGTAGAGGCGAGAAGCCAGAAATGTGTCACGGTCCTTGCTGTGGGTGAGATGAGTTCCCTAGGTGAGACATCAGTAAATCTGGGGGCCGGCACCTGGTTATCCCAGTGCGAAGGCATGGCCCTCCTCGTCAGTGCAGGAGAGAAGCACTCGCCTACAGGGAGAGGCCTGCCTGCCCTTCACAGCTCTCAGCTGGAATAAGCTCTTTCGCAAAAGACAGATTAGCAAGCAAAAAAGATGGAATTTAAGAAGTATAGCCTAAGGAGTGGTTAGGACTTCGAGCTCAAATATGGTTTTCGATAAAACAAAAGAAAGGGGTCCTAAATGAAAGAGATGATGTGATGTCCACAGGTGAGGCAAGCAAGGGTTATCAGGAATTTTCGTTGTGATCAGGTGGGCAGGGTACAGTACAGAAAAAAAAATATTCTTCTTCATCTGCTACAGGCTTCCAATGTTATCTGATAGCATTCTTAACTTTCAGTGGAATAAGAGATCTGTTAATACACCCCAAAGTATTTGCTTAAAAAAATATCAGAGGATGTTAGGTCAGACACAGAGAACTAAAGATAGTGGAAGATAATCTGGCCACATTCCAACCTCTGTAATCCCAGTTTTAATCAGCTTGTAGAACACAGGTGTGGCTTTTCATTTTCCTGAAAACCTCAGCTCACAGTGAAACAGCTCAAAACAGTGTCTAAGTGGAAGAGGCGTGTCCTGGGGGTGGCCGAGTCTGGTGTTCTTCACCTGGAAGCTATCAAGCTTATGAGTAAGTCAACTCCGATGCTTCCACTGCCCGCTTCAAAAATAGAACCTGATTCCCCAACTCTTCAGCGCATTTCTTTCCCCTGGCGCACTCACCGTCCTCTGTGCAGTGACTAGCACTGCCCAGCACCACCCACAGGGCACACACACAACTCGCCTTGGTGCCAATTCACCTGGAATCATCCAACGGTTTTCCCCTGTCACTTGACCATCACCAGCTGTTGGCTTACAGTTTCCTGTGTCCAGAGCTGATGTGCACAGCACGGGTCACAGACTGAGCCCGAGGGGAGGGGGCTGAACGACAATGAAGACAGACACACGGTTTGTCCCTGTGATGCTTACAGTCTCATGAGGGCACGTTAGCCAAGGAGCCACAAAGTAAACACAGCTGTGTCTTCAAGGCGAAGAGACCGTGAACTCATACCAAGAACCTTCTACCTGGACTTGGAAATTTCCAGAATAATGAGGAGTTAACTGCAGGAAAAGTGAAGAAGCATAGTGGCAGAAGAAACAGCCTGGACATGGCGGCACGAGGTCTGGAAAGGAAGCCGGTGTGACTGAGACTTGAGAATGAAAGGAATGAGTCAGCTTTATCTTGTCTTTCAGTCACAGTTGGTGAGAGGCTCAGTTTTAAATTTGGTCGTAGACAAGTTAAATTCGAGTGCCTTTGACAAACGTCAGGCAGGCAGCTAATAGAAGTCTAGAGCAATTCCTTCCAAGTTTGTGATGACTTTTGTCCCCTCTGGGGATAGTTGCTAATGACTGGAGATGTTGCTGTTGTTGCTGTTGTTGTTGTGTTGTTGTTGCTGTTGCTGCTGCTGTTGTTACAGCAGAGTAGAGGGTAGAGGCAAAGGATGTTACCAAAAACCCTGAAGGGCTCGGACAACCTCACCCACACAGCAAAGAATTCTCTAACCCAAAATGTCAATAGCACCTAAAATGAGAAATTCTAGTGCAGATATCTTAAGGTCCGTGTCCAAATGCTTTTGGTGCTGATGAGATCACACAGAAGACGGAAAGTGGAAAACCGAGGGGAAATACTGAGGAATATTAGCACAAATACGGCTGGGTGGCCAGTTTAAAAGAATAAGCAAGAGTAGTCAGAGAAAGAGGAAAACTCAAAAAATGGAGACTCAGGGAAGCCAACATTTGGGGACAAGGAATTAGTGAAAGTATCAGATTCTATCAAGGAGACAGAGGAGGGACTGGGGAAACAGCTTGCTGCTTTGGCAGAAGGCTAGAGTTCAGTTCTCAGCACCATCAACAGACAGCTCACAACTGCCCGTAACTCCAGCTCCAGAGAATTAAGCACCCTCTTCTGGCTTCCAGGGGTACTGCACACATACGGAGCACATACACACAATGCAGACAAAACACTTACACACATAAATAAAAACAATTCTTTTAAAAATTAAACCAGAGGAGATGAAAGCTGAAAAGCATTCATTGCTTTCAAAATGGTGAAGCTATTGAAAGTTTAGTGATACAATGCTAATAAAAAAACACACTACTGTGGGTGGAGAATTAGAGGGAGGAACAGCATGCAGGCAGCTTCTGAAGACAAGCTGGGTTTTCATTTTGGTTTGGTTTGTTTGTTTTTAGTTTAGTGATAGAAGAGAGAAGAAAGAATAGTTCTGAAAATGGATGGCATTCAGGACTCTTAATGGGGGTTGCAGACATAGCTCAGTGGGAAACAGCCCTTTCCATCACATGTGAGGCCCAAGTGTGATACCCAACACCTACATTTAAAATAAGCTGAGGGCAGCAATGTGCAGCTGCCATCCTAGCACTAGGGATGAACAGGCCAGGCTAGCTCAGGGGCTTGCCGGTCACCCAGCTCGGCAAAACACTGTCTCGAGAAAGTAAGGTAGAAAATTCATGATTTCAATCTCTGACTTTCACATGCGTGGGTGACAGGCATGTGTGTAAGGATCTCTCTCTCTCTCTCTCTCACACACACACACACACAGACACACACACAGACACACACACATACACACATTTTATCTTGAAAACCGAAACATAAATGATATAAGCACATCATTATAATGGATATCTCTGGTATCCTGTCTTCTATAGATGCTGGATTATGTTTTGTTTCTTTAAAAAGTTGTCTTTTGTTCTAAGAGAGTGAACTAAACGGAATTCAAATTCCAAGCTCCGTCTGCCCAAATCAGCAAGAACTGAGGTCTCTGCTCAGTTTTTTGGGATTTCTTGCTGCAACCAATTGTATCAGTGCCCCTGCTACTCACAGCCAGCCAATGATAGGGCTTTTTATACCCAGGCTTGAGAGTCCCTGAAGTTTCTTCCCTTCCAATTTCCCCCTGCACTGCCCAGCTGCTCTTCCTAATCCCAACCCTGTTTTCGGGCACTCAATGTGTAAGTTGGCCTTCTGTTTCTCTGAGTTGTTTGAAGATGGGCTTGCGCCCAGGCAAAAAGCTGCAAAGAATAGCTACTGCTTTCAAAGGCAGATGCTCTTGCCGCTTCTAGCACCATTTGGCCGAGCTCCCTTGCTGTAAACCAAAAACACATATTTCATAGCGTAGCGGTAATATAAATTGTTTATATATGAGTGACTTTATAATAATTGTCTTCAGAAGGGTTATCCTATGTCACTCCCAGAAGCCAGGAACCTTGTTACACTTCTAAAATGATGATGACTTGAGTGTGTAAGTTTTACGGGTTATCTCCTAATGTGAGAAAGAGTGAGAAGGGAACCCGCAAATGTACACATTCTCTCATCTCTAGCCCTAAAACAGAAGATTCATATCCACGCCTTTGAAGTCTGTATTAAACATTCTAAGTCAAGTAGCAAGCTATGAAGCATAGCATGCTCTATTATCTTACATTTGCTACTGTGCCCTCTGCTAGACTGGAAGGCTAAGTCTGAATTTGGTATTGTTAGACTCCCATGCCGACAGAGAAAAGTATTTCATCAAGCACACACACACACACACACACACACACCGCTTCCCTTCCCAGCTACATCTCAGAGGCCTGGTGCATACATATCTGAACATCCCAGCCCACATGTCCAGGTTCTGGTCCTGGCCATGTGCTCTGTGCTCTGGAGCAAGTACCTGGAGAGCAGACCCATCGCGGCTAAGGTAGTTGTGGGGCTAGCGAGTCAGGGGATTCTGGTACCGGATGTAGAGAGAAAAGAAGAGAAGAGGCATTCTCTAGAGAAGATGGCTGCAGGCGGGCATGCCCTTGACCCAGCACACTCCTGATTCTACGGAGAGAAGCGATTGAGAAAGACACCAAGACCCTCCAGAGCATTGAGACAAAATTCATCTTCTGTGGGGCTGGGGGCAAAAGTGGGCAATGCAGTTGATGCCAGCGCTCAGGGTCTTTGCTCTGTTTCCACACTGACTGCCTGGCTTCTCTTTGTGTGCATGTTTCTATCTCCTAGTGGGCTGTTCATCACCATTCATGACAAGGGCCACCTGGCAACCATGCTGAACTCCTGGCCAGAGGACAATATTAAGGTATGAACCTGCTTTTATTGCTATTGCCATCTGTATTAGTGTTATTTCTACCTATGAAACGAGCCGTTATGACACCGAAGGCAGGTTACTTCCCGCCCTTCCCAGGCCCCGATCACACACCAGCTAGAGCTACCACAAATGCATCACGGAAGAGATTTGCCTTAACTGCACAGCTAGGTAAAATTGCTCTCAGGTCATATTCATCCAAAGAAATGCTTGCTATGTGCTGAGCTTCTGCTGAGTGCACTGTGGATGTAGACAGTTTCCTCGTGGCTGTAGACAGAAAGCAAGCATGGCCCTCTTCTGGAGTAAAGGATACCTCATGACAAAAGCAGGACAGTAACACAGTAGACCGGCCAGGTGGACCGTGCGTGAAGCCAAGTGAACCGCACAGAGGGAGCTGCGGTGGTCACAGAGGTAGGAAGACTTTCATCTCTGAGAGCTCTGAGGTGACGTCACGGGGAGATGACTTCGGAACAGGACCTTAGGTTGAGAGTTATGCAGACGTCGGCGAGGACCTGCTGCATGGAAAGTTTACAGCAAGCAGGCCTGGGTAGGTGTGCCCAGGTGGCACTGAGCAGAGAGGGGATGCGCAGAGCGACAAAGCCAAGCTGCCACCGCTTCGCAAATACCCAGTCTACTCCAAACATGAAGGGGGAAAAGGATGAGCTGACAATATGGCTGCCTACTGTGCGGTGCTGCGCGTGGAAGGGCGCATCTGAGGTAATTATCTTCTCTGGAAGCATCGTAAGTGAGACTAACGGCTCCTTAGTAAGAGAATGTCCAGCCCAGGAGTCAAAGTACTGGATGTAAACACAGTGTAACCCTGGGGCCAGCTGTTTGCTTTACCCTGGCTCCCGTGGTAGGTATGGATCTCTGCGGGGTCTGCTCCCTTCACCCCTGCTGGTTCCCTGAGCCCATTCCTCACCAGAAGGTACCAAATAGAGCCTCTATTAGTTTTCCACCCAAACCAGGCTCTCTCCAGTGTGAGAATTTAGAACAAGAACAGAAAAGGGTTAGGACCTCAGCTCTCTGCAGCCAGGTCTGAGCTACAGCCAAAGTTCAGTACTGGCCACGGGAAATAATTTGTCCTCACGTCTCCCTCTGGGTGTGACTTTGCCCTATGCTTATCCGCCTGGACTCCAGTTCTGTGTAAGGCCTTGGCCTTGAAAGCCCTGGCCTCCATCCCAGGAAAGCATGTTTCCAGAGTGTGTCTAGGATGATACTCTAGTAAAATATTGAGGACATTAAGGGGAGCCAGCCCACTTAGTAGAGAGTTAACTTAGGCGAACCTGGGCAGGCACAATGCTGAGGTCCTGCACACCGATCTTTTCCCCATGCCTGGACAGCTCAACTACAGAGAAGTCTCGTGCGTCAACAGGCCCTCAGCAGATGCCCGCCCAGGTGAACAACCTCAGTCAACTGAAGCACTGAGCATCTTCTGTGTGCCAGGCACTGTGCCAGCCATAGAGATAATGCATACAGTCTGTTCAGGCAACTAAACATCTAAAGGAAATTCTTCTTCTTTAACTGGAAGTAAAAAGGTACCTCTTCCTCTAGGCTGACACAGGGATCCCGTTGTTTCCTTGGCTGGGCACAATATTCATGATTAGTATTAGGTCCTTCTACAAAGGTTTCAAACTGCCTAGCACTTGGAAGGCAGAGGCAGGCAGATCTCAGTGGGATTGAGGCCAGCCTGGTCTACAGAGTGAGTTCCAGGACAGCCAGGACTGTTACACAGAGAAATACTGTCTCTGGGGAAAAAAAAAATCCAAAATGAAAGTGAAAGACACCTTGTCTCCAATTCTTCATGTCATGGTTAAAAACCTAGGATATAAATTCAAAATAGAACCATAGGAGCCAAGTGACTATCGACTTCAATAAACGTATCTTAAGACCCTTCTAAATATTGAATACTAACTCCCAGTCAGGAAAACGGAGGTTTCTTCTGGGAATCAGAGGCCACAGATGCGTCGTCGTATGCCTTGTACCCAGAAGTACTTGGCCCTCAGCGCCTGTTAAAATTTTTGAATTTATAGGCAATATTTTTAAAGCATAGTTCGTTTAAAACAATAAATATAAAAGCGCTTGGATTTTTTTTACTTCTCTGGAAAAACTAAGTACTCTGAATATAGAGCCTGAATCATGGTGTGTAAACAAACTAACAGTAGCTGACTGGACTTTTTGCCTAACCTACCCCACACTCCACCCTGCCCCACTCACCAGCCTGGCTCTGATGGCTTCCTCCCCCATCGCCCAAGTTGCTCCTTCAGAAGTTCAGAATGTTCCGACCTGCAGACTTTCCTGTTCCCTTAAAAAGAGAGGGTGAAGATCTGTCCCCTTCCACAGGGGCTCTCTGCTCCTCACCACTCCACAGGGCATCATCACAGGCACTGAGGGTCTCAGCTCAGAAAGAATCCCTCCTGAAAGCCCCAAGCTGGGCCCTGGAGAAGGAGTAGGAGGAGGGGACATTGCTCAGAGGAGGATGAAGCATGCATGGTACTCACAAGGTCACGCACAGGTGAATGCTGGTGTCTAAACGACATCTTGTGGCTGAGCTCTGCCACCCCACCCTGCCCCCAATAGGTGATTCAGAGAGGCTGTTTCTCAAGGCCTAGGAAGTCTTTGGAACCTAGTGTTGCTGGCTGCTTGGCTAGAGAGGGTTCATTTCAGAAGACCTTCTGAATTGCTTTGGAAGATGAAAAATTAACTTTCTGTGGTTTCCCAGCTAAAAAGTCAGGAGCCTGAAATCCAGGAGAAGATAACTATGAGGTACCTACGACTCAAAGCCAGGACTTTAAAAAGCTTTGAGATCTTTCTTCTCCAAAGAGGAAAATGTTGCCCTGTGTAAATCATACAGAGGAGTGAGCACCGCATCCTGTCTCCTTCCCAGAGTGCCCACTGCCTCCCGCAGGAGAAAGGTTCAACTGAGAACTCTCCCTGTCAGCTCCCCAAACTCCTAAGCATCTCTCCCAACCCAGTAACAACACTCCTGAGAAGAGAGAGCTCTGTGTGGTGCAGCCAAAATGGCAACTTCCACCATGAGACACCCGCCGCACAGCTGTTGAAGCATGGTCCAGACTGCCAGCGCTGTGTGCCTGCCTACCACGTACAGGTCGACGGTGTGGTGAACACCTTCGGCATGGTGTCAGAGACAGGGCTTGCTGAAACTTTCTGAGACCGAAATCAACTTGTCAGGAAGGGCTCTTGGTTCAACAACTGTACCCCAAAAGGAGGGGAGGACACGGAGGCAGGGTGTCTTGTGTAGTCCTGGGGTGGTCAGTCATTGGCTGTAGGCTGATCTTCAGAAAGAGGTACGGCTTCTGCGCAAGGTCAGGTAAAGAAGTTTCTCCAGATAGGCTGATGGCTAAGAAGAGCAGAAGGGAAGAAAGCCCTTCATTCCTCAATAAGGAACAACCTTGGGCAGACCTCTCCAGCCCCTTCATTCACACAGAACGACGCATCGAATTCTGTCGGCATCCTCAGGGCTTCTTACTGTCTTTGTTCCAAAGACAAGGAATCTGAAAGACTAGGTTCTTTGTGAGGAGTGGAACCAAGATTTGAAACTAAGGAATGTGGGTTATTTGTGCTATGAAGTAGGGGGAAAGGAAGGAGGGGTGATGAGACCAAAGGGTGAAGCAAAAGGAAGAAGAAGAGTGGCTTGAAAACTCTTGCCGGCAGCCCATAATCACACTAATAAATCTGAAACAGCCCACGAGCAAACCAGGACTCATCGCCTTCCAATCAGCCTTTGGTTCGCTAAGCTAAGGGCCATATCCAACAAGTCAGATAAGGTCATAGGTCTGAGGAAGGCAGGCAAGAAGGAACACAGCATACTATCCTTCAAACCTCTCCATTTGTCTAAGGAACAGGGGTGTCGTGACTTTTCCAACAGCCAAATAAGGAAATTGGAGTTCTGTCATTCCAGAAATTGTTGCTGGCTTTTCAAACCCAAAGACACTGCCCAGACTTTCCCTAAGCCCTTGGCAACCCCCTGAACTAGTTAAGTGGTTCCCAGCATTAATTGGATTGCGATCAGGAACAGGGAGAGGCAATACCTTCTCTCCGAATTTAACGATACTGGCTTTAATCCTGTCCAGCCGAGAAGCACTGTTGGAGCGATAGTTTGCCTGGCTAATGAACTAGATGTCACATTGCTGGCCTCAGAGCCAACTGCTAAGGAATCAAAAATAACACAACCTGGTATTGCCCCTAAAAAGCATACAACTTTTATGAAATACGTGGAAACATGAATATTTATAATACAAGGAAAAAAACTGTTGGCTGCTTTGCGCAAGGAAAAATATTCGGGGAGTGCAAAGGAAGAGTGAGAAGCTCAGGAGAGACGCTTCTTGGAGACCAGTGTGCTAGTTGCAGTGAAGTACAAACAGCTTCACTGTCACCCCAGGGGGCTCCCCTTGCCCTGATGCTCATTGGCTTGTCCCTCCCACCCCATTCTGCCATTCGTATAAAGTGTACCTCCTTGCTTGCTTCTCGACACCTTTTACACAAGTCTATCCTGGACCTTAACTTTCTTTCCTATTTGTACCAGGATTTTGTTTTCAGGCTACCAACCAGCTTCCAAATCATGACACAGACTTGTTATTAGTTTTACATGCTTGGCCTTATCTTAGCTCTCATTTTTATGTTTCTCTTTATCTGTGTTTTGCCTTGGGCTTTTTTTTTTCCTTTTTTCCCTTCTGTGTATCTTTCACTGGTTCTCGTGTTTGGCTGTAACTGCCTCGCTTCCAACTCCAGGAGTGTCTCTCTCTTTCTCCCTTGTTCTCTCCTCCTCCTCTTCTCTCCTTCTCTAGCCTTTATTTCTCCTATTTATTGTCTCCACCTGCCAGGTACACCTATCCCTCTCCTTCCTAGCTATTGGCTGTTCGACTTTTTATTACACCAATCAGGTGCTTTAGACAGGCAAGGTGAAACAAACACACTTCTTCATATAATTAAACACACATCCGTACATCGTTAACCAAATGCAATGTAAACAAGTAAAACACACCTGTACACAGTTGCAGTAATATTCCTTGGCATAAAAGACTGTACCACCTTTTTGCCTAGGTAAAGTAATATTCCACAACACCCATTAAAGGTCTTTGATTCTGCCTGCACCCTCACAATTGCTTCTTGCCTGATGTCTGGTGTGTGTATCCTCTCATCTGCACAACTTCTAAGAGTGAGTCACCCTCCGGGAAGCTCTCAGTCTCTCCTCCCCCTGCATTGTCCTGTGGCATTCAGGCCTCTGTCCCGAAGCTGTAACAGCTGATAAATATGGTCCCTGTCTCATTTGGCTTCACACATATTTAATTTCATAGGTAATCAAACTAAAGTTCCTTCCCCCAGGATAGGTCTTACTAGCAAACAGGTGCTTTGTGCGTATTAATTAAGTGAATGACTATAGGAGCATCCATCATAGCCATATAATCACATCTGTCATCACCATGAGCTCCGTCAACATCTGATGAAGGAAAGATACCAGTACTATGTCTAGTACACAGTTGGCCAACAGGTTATCCTCAGACAACCAAAGAATTTGCTTGATTCCGTGTTTTGTGATTCTAAGAAATGTTACAAGCTCTGTTCTTTGCACATTGGCCTCAAGATGCTGCGCTGTAGCGGCGGCCTGAGCTTTCTCATACCCCTCCCTTACCATCTCAGGCCCCAGGTTTCAGGCTGAGGCTGTCCAGTTTCTCTGAGAGAGAGAAAAAGAGAGACAAGATGTGATTTCTCTCCAGCTGTTTCTGCGGCTCCTTCTTCAGAATGCAGGGAACACTGTCTTTCTGTCACTTGGCCTCAGCGAGCTCTCTCGCCCCCTTGCCAGAAAGGACCAGCCACCTACAGTTGACGGATCCCTCTGGCCTTGTCCCAGACTGGCTGCTTTCTTCCCAGCAGGCTGCTAGGACTTTGAAAGGAGCACTTTGTCATGCGGGCGGTGCTCCCGACTGAGGGTGCCCTGCTGTGTTTTGCAGGCTGTGGTGGTGACGGATGGAGAGCGCATACTGGGCTTGGGAGACCTGGGCTGCTACGGCATGGGCATCCCTGTGGGCAAGCTGGCCCTGTACACCGCATGCGGAGGAGTCGATCCACAGCAGTGCCTCCCCGTCCTGCTCGATGTGGGCACCAACAATGAGGTAACGGGCTGTGCGGGCCAGGAGCGCTTGAGCCCCCAAGGAAGATGAGGTGGGGGGGGGCGGCGCTTTTGTGGAGTAATTATATCCACATGGGCTGTTTCGTTCCCAGGATGCTCTCGACCCCCATTCCCACATAGTTGTGAAGTAGCGGATTCTCCTCTCCCAACCCCCTATGCTTCTGAGTCCTCTGGCTTCTGCGTCTTCCTCCTCTGTGCCCACAATGCCCTGGACTTACTTCTTCCACTGCTTCGTGAACCCACCAAGTTCGCTATCCTCCTTGGGGCTCCTCTCCGAGAGAGCAGCCAATGGCGAGACTAGTAGTCTGTGTTCTGCATTTTCAAGGTGATTTGCCTCAGTGTTTGAACTAAAATTCAAAAAGAAGGCTCCAGGCTGGAATGTTGGAGACAAGCAGAAGAGTGTCCTACAGATCAAGTGAGAGAAACTGAGCTAAGATGCTGGTCAATCCTTCTGTAGGATTCAGGGACTTTGTCAAGGAGATTAACCCCCAGCCAAGAGTTTGTCTGCTCCTGGTACCAGGCTGGCACATTGTCTCTGGCTGTAATTCTCGGCCCTATGACTGGCAGAAAAAAAAAGCGGCTTCCACAGGTAGTGATGGCTCATGCCTCTAATCCAAATTCGAACCCAGCCTCTAATCCAAATTCGAACCCAGCCTGGTGTATAGAGTGAGTTTCAAAACTAAACAAAATAAAACAAAAACACTATCTTTTTTTTTCTTCATTTCCAAATTGTTTTCTTAATTCAAACTTTCAGTTATTTTCACAAATGAAGCGAATATATCTCTATCCAACTGTCACGTTTTGCAAATTATAATTTTATGGAATATATGAAATATAGTAAAAATGAGTCTCATTATTATATTTTCATACACGTCTATAATATACGTCAAAGGAATTCCTTCTGACTAGCATTTACTTTTGAATTTAAGATCAGCGTGTGTTCTTTTAAAAATCAAAATTCAGAGATGGATTAAAAGTAAACCATTAGTCACAATATTGGTACATTTTTATATATAATATGTATATAGCATTTTGATGTTTTTAATATGTTCATGAAAAGTATGTTTATATATACACCTCTTTAGACCTGATCACCTACAGAGCACTCCTGCCATTTCTAAAATCTCCTCCTCTTACTATGTCTCCTGACCGGCCTATGGGACAGGGGGCCCGGTGGTGGCGCAAGCCTCATAGCTGCTAAGTAAGGGGAGACCTCAAGTTTTGCTCCAAACCAAGTTCCCTTCTCCCAGCCAGATGTTTGAGTTTATACCAAGCAACCATATATATTTATACAATAAAATTGTATGTATTTATACATTAAGTAAAATTATATAATTGCATATATGTATCACATATACATATTGCATATATGCAATAATATAATTTTAATGTTTTTCCTTTCAGTCTCTTTTCTCTCCAAACCCTTACAAAAAAACCAAACTTGGAGTTGCATTGCCTTACCTCTCTGAAGCCTGCTCTTTATAGTTTGCATACGTCAAGAGTTCCCTCTGGGGTTAACAACCATTACTCCACTCCGTCGCTGCACCCCAGTTCACGCAGGAAAGCCCACACAGCTGCATGTTTAGGTGTTCCCGAAGTTCTTGCAGAGGTCAGCTGTGCTCCGGTCCCCACTTTGCAGATGAGTCATGTTCTCATCTCTGATGTTTCTTTAGGACAAATTCCTAGAGGCAGAAATATCGGTGCACATTGGAGGTGGGTGTTCGTCTAGATTAGCGGGATGGGTACGAGTACTTATTGGGGGAGCAGTATTGTTAGCTAGAGAAGCCTTTCCTCCTCCAGCACCGTGCTCTTTGAGGCAGAGTCTCACACTGGGATCTGGGATTTAATGGTTCCCATGAGTTGGCTGGAGCGTGAGCTCTGGGGATCTTGCCACTGTGCGACCCCTGCACTGGGATTATGGGTGTGTACTGCCACACCCAGCCTTTTCCCGCGTGGTTGCTGGGGGCGGAACTTGGGTCCTCACGCAAATCAAATGCTTTAATCACCGAGCCATCTCCACGGCCCTATGGTGCGGATTTGTGATCCACATTTGCAATCTACAATGATTCAGTTCAAGGAAAACTGATTTCCTCGTCTTTAGACAGCATGGGTTTCTAAACAAGAATGAGATTTCTAATTCCTAGCAAGGAATACAGCTTCCTCAGGCTCCACCCTAAGATGGAATCTCCTCCCTGGATTGAGGGATCCAGAAGGAGACCTTCCTTGAGAGCCAGAAACCTCACGGGGTCAGGGGGTAGGCAGTAGAGGACAAGAGAAGTGGATTAAGAAGCAGGGGCCCTGGCCCCATGCCACCAACAGGCCGGGTGAGTCACTTCACCTCTTTAGACCTGACCCCTACAGAACAGTCCTGCCATTTCTAAAATCGCCTCCCCTTGCTATGTCTCCTGACTGGCCTACGAGATGGGGCTGGGTGGTGGTGCAAGCCTTACAGCCGCTCAGCACGGCTTTGATTCATCACAAATCCATCAGAACAGAGCTCCGAAAAGAAGTGGCAGTCGTGGACCAGGACCTTACACCCAGTTTGAGCCACATAGGAGCACGGAGTGAAAGCCTCTGTCACTGCCTTCCCTTCCCACTGCAGAAAACTGAGGTCCAGAAACTTTAATTAGCTCAAAGAGATTCTAATCAGAGCCAAGATCCTCTGCCATATCCCACCCCTGCTGGGATTCTGGTGTTTTATAAGCCAGCTTCATCTCTTGATCCATAAGATTACTAAAGTAACTTCAGAATATTATTCAAATTATTTTTTCTTTTCTTTTTCTTTTTTTTTTTTTTTGTTTGTTTCTTTGTTGTTGTTGTTTTGGTTTTCAAGACAGGGTTTCTCTGTGAGACAGTCCTGGCTATCCTGGAACTCACTTTATAAATCAGGCTGGCCTCACACTCACAGTGACCTGCCTCTGACTCCCGAGTGCTGGGGTTAAAGGCATGCGCCACCAACCGTCCGGCTCAAATTCTTAAAAGAAATTTCTCCCACCGTTCCCTGTTTGTGCCCCTTTCAGTATTTATCCACGACACACGCACATATAGATGAATTTGTTACTTAGCTGCAATCATAATGCACCTGTATTTCGTTCTCATTTTTTTAAATCAAGGTTATTTTGTGAACACTTTCTTTTTACTCCTTTAATCAAAGTTTACTGGGTGTTTAGTAGGTGTCGGGCACTCTGGTAGGCTTGAGGGAGATAAATGAACCAGGCCTGGGTGGAGCTGTCCAGCTGTCGGGGATTCAACACTGCCACATAATGGATCATGTATTACATCATCACTCAGAGCGTCTGCTTCTCCCCTGAGTGCTGGATTCCAAGCATGAGAATTCAAAGTTGCCAAGTGAACCAGTGTTACAAAGACGGTGTTTAGCCCCCTTCAAATGGGTTTGCTATGTCATGTCCCATAGTAAAACTGTTCAAAACGCATATGTTTCTAATTCTTGCACGAAAACAACACCAGGTAAGATACCAACCAATATGGACTGGGGAAGTGTCACAGGGCCCCCTGCGAGGCGAAGAGCTACAGGCAATTAAAGGCCTCTAGGAGAGTGAGAATCAGTTTTCTCTAGGGACAATCCCTCTGATAGGTTGTCCAATGCTGAGTGGTCAGTCCTAAATGCATATACATATGAGCACAACACTAAATGAACGCTGGAGAAAACACACATATGCATATATATATATATATATATAATGTATATATACACACCCACATACATATATACCAAATTAAAGAAGAGCTCATAAAGTTGAGAGTTCAGAGAAAGTTGTAGAGACAAGGCAGGTGTTGGAGGTAGGAGATTATGGGGTTGAAATGATTTCGATATAATACTGGTGTCCAAAATTCTAAAATAAAATAAATGTTTCTTAGTGAATCTCTTTGTAAGGAATTTTCCCCAGGACTCTTGGGGTGCGACTTTCGCTGAGAGCAATCCTGGACTGTAGGGGAGGAAAGCTGGGCCTTATCGCTTCCACTGCCTCTAGTAGTACAGGGAGGACACTGTTGTGGGATGTTTCTGTGTCCAAATAGCAAAGCCATCACTGTGTGTGTCTCTGTAAAACAAAACAGAAACCTCCTGAGGTGACAGCGGTTGAATGAGGGTCAGAACACCCTTCTAAGCTTCCTGTTGAGAGGAAACATCTGCTTTCTATATTCCCGAAACTGAGTCACTTTTACCTGCCAACACCAAGCATATTTGGAAAAATAAACGCATGGAGCAGGGATTCCGTAGAGGAGGGATGTCCCAGGGTTCGGTCCCAAGGGCTTTGGGGCGAGGAGTCGCGGCTGTGTGTGGAGGACACCAAGTACAAGATAGATGGCCATATTGTCCAAGGTAGAAGGGACCAGAGGCAGCATCTCATACCACCCTCTTCACTCCACGTAAGAAGAGGCCCAGAGCATAAATGTCTTCCCTAAGGATTCGTTCCCAAATCCTGCACACATGGTCCTCTACAGTGAGGTTCTTCGGAACAGCCCGCAGTGCTCAGGCTGCCCTCCTGGGCACCGAGAGTCTAATATTTCCTGAACTCATGAACCTGTGTTCACCTCCTGGGCGATGCCATGTGGTCCTCTGGAACCCACTATGTGGCTGATGAGGATGCTGGCATCTGTGGGCAGAAACTCTCTGTGTGGCTGATGAGGATGCTGGCATCTGTGGACAGAAACTCTCTGTGTGACTGATGAGGATACTGGCATCTGTGGGCAGACTCAGGGGGAAACTGGCCGCAGACCCAGACTTCGAAGACTTGGTGAGAAAGAACGGAGTCCGTCTCTGTACTGGGGTCAGCAGTTTCTTCTGTTCTGCAAGTTTGTTGTCTCTGAGACTAGAATACTCAGCTTCATGGTGCAGTACTACCAGAGAGCCCACTCTCCGTGTGCACGTGTGAGGATGCTACCCCAGAATCTTTGCAGCCTTCTCCTGGGCTTAACTTAATTTTCCATAAAATTAAGCAATAGAAATAATTACAATTTGAGAAGAGGGTGCTATGTCCACGAAGTTGACTCCATGCCATAACCTCCTGAATACACAGATTTGAAGGAGGGTGTTATGACCATGGAGTAGACCCCATGCCATGACCTGAACACACCAATGTTCTTCATGACCTCTTAGCCTGCCTGTTGCTACTCAAGGTAAATATTTTTTTAACCAGAAGGTTAAATACAACATTCCGTGATATGTTCAGGGAAGAGGAGGAAAAACTATTTGTTTTCCTTGACATTTTGTCTCCAAGGAAAACCTTAGCAAGGCAGAGCTAGGCAAACAACCCAGAGGGTGTACTCAGCCCCATTCCCACAGCAGAGGGAGAAGTTCCAGTTTGCCTTCTTTGGGTAAATTTATTTCACCTATAATTCTCATCGCTATTTATTTAGTTCCGAAGGGAACTTAGTAACTATCTAACAGAGAAAAGATTTAGTCATCAAATTAATACTTAGGTACCAGGATACCTTGTACACGCCAGAGCTTGGGAATGAATAGGTTCAGTCCCTATCCTGTTCTAAAATAATGGTTTCTTCCCTTCCACTCCCACCAGTGGGTTTTGTGACCCAAGACAGTTCACTTCGCCTTTAGAAGTCTCAGGAATCCATTGGGAGGAAGCTGAAGGAGGAGATTTCCAAGATCTACGTTTTTAGGATGGAATAATGGAGCGGGTTCAGTAAGCGGATGCTCTCTGTTCCAGGAGCTTCTCAGAGACCCTCTGTACATCGGCCTGAAACACCGGCGTGTTGGTGGGAAGGCGTACGATGACCTACTGGATGAGTTCATGCAGGCCGTGACGGATAAGTAAGTGGGCTTTGGGAGAGAGCTCTTAAGATGTGCCGTGGCCAAAGTCAAGCCTAGCTTTGGAAGAATGGAATTTACAGACGAGGCTGTGGCTCTGTCCTTTGGGGTGGATGGTCTGAAAATTTCAGCCTGACAGACGCATGCACCTGAAAGTCTGGAAGCCATGTGGGGTGGGCCTGTCTCCAGGATAACTGCAAGAAGGCACTGGGAGGTGGAGGTAGCTAGATTCTGCTGTTCCCGGAGGGATACCCTCTGGGTCTGAACTGCTTGGGATAGTTTGTGTGAATACAGACTCTGCTCTTCTGGTAAAAAGACGTTAGCCTCCTAATAAAATGGCTTTGGAAAGCAGCTCGCCACATTCATCTTCACACATGCGCGCACGCGCGCACTTGGTTAGGTCAGGTTAGGAGCAGGTTAATAGACCAGTACAGTAGACTCCCCAAATCCAAGCCTTCTAGATTTGTGGGAGCTCTTGTCTACTCTGGAGAGCATAATGCTGGCAGCTCCACCCTACTCCCCTGCTTATTCTGCCAGCCACCATGGCCGCCCACACCCACTGGCATTCTACCAGGTCCTAGTGATGCCCTCCACAGGCTGGGCAAGCCAGAGCGTCGGCGATTCAGGGGAACCTATGAACATACTTCATTCTCCCTAGAAAAGAGCTAAAGTCATATTGTGGTTCTTTGGCGTGGGAAGGGTGCTGCGGAAAAGAGAAAGTTAATAATGGGGTACAGAAAATTAATAATGGGGCACAGGGTGGGAGCAGAAATTTGTGTAAGCCAAAGGGCCAGGGATCAAATGCACACCTGGAGAAGTTCAGGCTTAGAAGCACACACTGCATCGTGGGAAGAGAGTCGAGGAAGAGGAAGGTAGGAGAAGAGATAGATGAATCAGGCTTGATCTTTTTCCAGGCAAGAAGGGTGTTGAGTGTGTACTCGGGGGGATTGCCACAATGGTGTGCCAAAGGTCTAGGCTGAGGAAGAAGGGAAATGAGGACCTGGAGAAGCGGGAGGCAGGGGAGGGAGAAGCGGGAGGCAGGGGAGGGAGGAGGAAAGCTGTACGACTGGAAGACCGCAAGTCCTGGTGAGAACTGAGAACCAGCACCCTGGGAACCAGGCAGAATAAACTGGAGGAAGGGGAGCGATGCTCTGAAGGTTACATGTTGACAGTCGAGACCACAAGGATGTGGTCACCAAAGAAGCTCATCCACAAGCTGGTGCATTAACAGAAGGACAGCATCTGGAACAAAGGGGGTGCACCCCACTTCGTCCTTCCCCTTTCAGACCGTCTCAGCGCCACCTCCAAGTCCAGACCAAACGTGCCTTTAAAGAACAATAGCCCTGACGGTGGAGGGAAAGAAATGCTTGATTTGGCAGTGAGAAGGCTCGGAGGCCGCTCTGGATCAAGGAGAAGGATGCCTCCTGGACATCAGCAAGCTAGTCTTCCAGAAGACTTGTTTCTGTATGTCCAAAGGAGAGCTGAAGGGTTCAGGGCCAACAAAGGCCATTTGGGGCCCAAAGTAAGCATCGTGGTACACGGAATTCTGATCATGTGTTCTCCGTCCTGGAAGGAGTGCCAGGATATGTTGTTTGGCACTTAGGTGGTGAGAGTATGAATGGATTCAAGCAGCACAGCCTCCTGAACATGTCTTCTTCCCACTCCGTGACTCTGGTCTGGCCTCTTGAGAATGCCATGGAGCTGGCAGGATAGGTACTATCTGGCTCACTTTAATGGAAGAAGAAGCTGAGGCCCTGAGATGACAAGGTCACTGTCGTGGCTCACCAAGTCCTTGGCTCACTAGGTACCCAGGAAGTACAAGGCAGGACTGTGAGACGAACCCAGTTTGTTAACTCCACCTGTGGGCCCTTTCTTATAAGGCTTTGCGACCTGAGCAAAGGGAATGGCATTGCCTTAGCCAATTTTTTGCTTCCTGTTTCCGGCACTCATTGCCTGCTTATGAGTCAGTAGTCAGTCCATGGCTCCCCAAAGAGAAATATTTCTATCCGTGGGAGAGAAGGTTAAATAAATTAAGATGTAAGAGGCTTTTCAAATCATCATCATAATCTATCCACAGCTCCACAGACACACAGGCAGTCCAAGGTAAACCCTTAGGGAAGGGCGTGTGTCAGCCTACAGGAATGTGTCCTTCTGCCGGAGAGGTGACGGGTGGGTTGACAGCTCATTGTTTTGACTTTCTAACAAGATAGAACAGACGTTTCTGTCGATACTGTAGGTGGAAAATGAGCTGGTCTCCCCAGGTACCCTTGGGAATGTTCTAGCCCCACGATGGAATGCCTGGCCTGAGGCTGAGTCAGAAGCCCTGAAGCCAAACACACTATATTTTAAGAAAGAACCTTGGGAAATCGTGACTCCTGCCTTCAGTGTCCTCATCGCTGCCCAAACATCCTGCCAATAAAAAGCTTCCTCTTTCTGCCTTCCCTGCTAACTGTTGCGTCTGTAGATTCTAGGTGGTAAAAAAGAGAAGTATTGACAAGACTTCACTCTGACTCAATTCCTATCCTGAAGGTGGTTCCTGAGGAAGACACGCCAAAGCAGAGGAACATCCGGTTAAGTCTGTGAACCACAGGGACTAGGATGTAGCTCAGTTAGTAAAGTGCTTTGCCTAGCACGCTCAGTGGTCCTGGGTTCAATCCCTAGAGCCCACTGGGCATGGCAGCACACAGATGTAACCCCAACTTTTAGGAGGCAGACGAAGCTCAAAGTTCTCCTCAGTAACAAATTCTAGGCCAGCACGGGTTACATGAAACTCTGTCTCAAATAAATAAATAAATAAATCTGTGAACCACACTAGAAATCTGAGTGTGGTTGTCAAACCAGAGGCAGATTGATCTTCCAAGCCCTTGTCTTTCTGTCTCTGCTTCTCTCCTCTCCTGTGTGGTGGGACCTGAAGCATCGTATCTGGGTACCATGTCCTGGTGGGACAAGTTCTCCTCCACAGTTTTTGTTTATATTTCTTACTTAAGTTACTAACAGGGAATGCTCTGGAAATGGGAGAAAAGCAGAGGAAATAACGGCATAGCTACGTACATCTCCACGGAAATGTACTGTGTGATACAGAAAGGCATCTTTACCTAGCATTTGCTATATTCCAGCCACTAAGCCAGGCTGGTAAGTAATCTGCAAATATATAAAAACCTCTGCTTTCAGAAGAGCATGGAAACACATGCCTATAAACCCAGCATGCACGAAGATGAGGCAAGAGGATCGTGAATTTAAGACCAGCCTGGGCTACATAACGAGACCCTGTAGCAAAACATCCTGATCCTATTCTCCAAACTACTGCATTCAGAACATTTCATCTGTGTCTGCTGGTGTTTGGATAACCTGACCTGCCGTGCTTTCTTTGGCTCAGTGTCGTTGTAAGTCACTTGTTCAGGAAGAGTGGGTCCTCTGGTGGAAATAAAAAAAAAAAATTGTAAGCTCGCAGCCCGTAAATGTTAAAGCTGAGGGGCTGCTTGCAGTCCCTGAGGCTGAAGGAAGGAAGAAAAGAGAGGGTGACTCTCCACCACTTCCTGAACTGTGCCCGAGTGCTCTGTGAACTTTAGGATTCGCCTGGGATATTGTTGGTAGACACAGTGAGGAAGGTTAAGTAGAAGGTCTCATTTCTTCTTCTAACCTCGACTGTTCAGGATTCTGTGTTCAACAGGGAAGAGTGTTGTGGTGGCATTGTCTTCCCTGAGCAGGTGACAAGGTGTGTAGCACATATGAAATGTTGCATCTTGCATCTGTGAAGACTCTGGGGTCCAGTCTTCTAATCTCATGAGCATTTACTCCAGCTGGTCCTGCAGCTCCTCTAGCTCAATAGTGAGTCAGAGGCTCATGTAGCCTCCATCTTAGTCTCCATGTGTTTAGAATATTTCCAGAGTTAAACCAAGTTTATCCCCCTGCCCCACTTTCTCTCCATGAAATGGAAACTGATTCCTCTAGTGTACAAAACTCTGCTGGATTATGTTCCCTTGGATATGTCCAACCCCTCCTTTCCCCACTCCCTATCCACTGCAGAACAGAGCAGAGGATTAAATCAAGTAGGTGTGTAAATGCTGAACTAACCCCCATACCCCCCACACACATCTAACTGTTCTTCTGAATCGCCAAGGGTGTTTATAAAGAATTCAGAGTCTCTGGGTTGAAACATGAGCATCTGTGTTTGTAAGCTCTGGTATAAAGTGGTCTAGTTTCACCACTGTTGATAAAATATCCTGACCAAAAGCAAGATAGAGGATGGGGGAAAAGGAGTTTATTTGGCTTACAGTCCATCACTGAGAGGAAGCCAAGGAAGGAACTCAAGAAACCAGACATATCACATCCACAGTCAAGAGCAGATAAAGAATAAACTCCTGGGTCCTTGCTCAGTTACTGCCCAGCCAGCCTCTTCCACTCTTATACAACCCAGGACCCCCTAAATAGGGAATAGTCCCACTGACAGTGGGCTGGGTCACAATCACGACAATTGCCCCACAGAGATGCCCACAGGCCAATACGATCTAAACAATCTCACAGCTAAGAGTCTCTTCTCAGGCAATTCTAGGTTCTGGTAAGTCAGCAGCTGAAACCAATCAGTACCTGAGCAAAGAATTATCTAGTTTTATAGTCACCAAATTGTTAATAGTGATTGCCACGGCAGAATGAGATTGGCTGGGAATGTAGCTTACCAAATTACTCATTTTTTCATGCTTATTTACTTATGTACAGATACTTATTTTGTAACTAAAAAAACTTTAATTAGGAGTGTCCTAGTGTTTCTATTGCTGTAAAGAGGCAGCATGACCACAGTAACCCTTATAAAGGAAAACATTTAATGGGGTGGTGTAGATGGAAACTTCTGTCCTGCCCAGTCCTGTAGCTTTTCAGTCCCAAATAAACACACAGGGGCTTATATTAATTATAAACGGTTTGGCCTATCACTCAGGCTTTTTACTAGCTCTTAAATTAACTCATAATTTTTATCTATGATTAGCCATGTGTCTTGGTACCTTTTC